CGCAGATGAAGGGGCTTGCCTCCAAGCCTGCTTATGTGAGTTCAAACTCAGGCCCACATGGTGGAAGGAGAGAACCAACTTTTTTAAGTTGTCCTCTGACCTCCACATGTGTGATATCATGCATGCCAACGCATATATACATATGAAATAAATAAATAAATATACTTTTTGAAAGAAGCTTTTGTGGTAAATGTAATTATCACAAACTTAGGTTTTCTTTTTTCTTTTTTTCCTAGGTTCTAATCTCTAGATAGTCTCTGGAGTTCGGTACTGATTTATATAATGACTAATTTATAATCATGGAACTGTGATCCAGGGTGGGGAAGCCCTTGACTACAGTTTTCTCTGAGTGAATCTGGAAATAAACTTGAAAATCTAAGCACTCTGGTGGGCATATTCCCAAGTTGTGATCCACTAAGTGGTCCTGTATTGTGATCTAAAAGTTTGTAGCAGAAATTATGGATGTTACATACTTCTAAAATTTCAACAATTTACTGAGCTATTTAAGCAATATGACTTTTTTGTTAAACTGGAAACCATTGTGTTAACTTATTAAAATTTTTTTGTTTGGTTGTTTTTTTGTTCTTGTTTTTCGAGACAGTGTTTCTCTGACTCTCCTGGAAGTCACTCTTGTAGACCAGGCTGGCCTCAACCTCAAAGATCCTCTCACTCTGCCTCCCAAGGGCTGGGATTAAAGGTGTGTGTCACCACCACCTGGCTAAAGTTAGTTTTGAAGAGATTTGGTTCTAGATCATGAATTGATTATTCAAGAAAAGCCGGTTTTACAAGTGAAGTGAGTTAAAATGGAAAATTAAGGACAAGATACAGAAAGGACAGAGGACTCATATCCCAGAGGTTCTCAAGTTGGAGATTATTTCCCATGTGGGAAAAGACTCACGCTTACTAACGTCAAGCGTTTGGATCCATTTTCACGCATCACTGAGAAGAGCGTGCATTTTCATTCCCACAGAAAGCCAAGCCCTTGATGACGGAGTTCTCCGTGAAGTCTACCATCATCTCTCGCTATGCCTTCACCACAGTCTCCTGCAGAATGCTCAACAGAGCTTCTGAGGACCAGGATGTTGAGTTCCAGATGCAGATTCCAGCAGCAGCTTTCATCACCAACTTCACCATGTAAGGGATGCGATGGTCAGAGACAGAGATTTGTCTGTGGATGGTCAAGGGGAACCCGAGAGTGTATGGGGTCCACAGCCCATCAAACTGCGAGAATTCATATCCTGTGGGTGGTCTGAGAATCAGAGGGTTGCCTGCCTGCTTTTCTTTTCTCTCTCCCTCCTTCCATCTCTCCCTTCCTCTCCCTCTCTAATTCCCTAGCTTCCTGTTTCCCTTCCTTTCTTAACTTCTTTCCTTACATCCTTAACTTCCTCTCTTCCCTACCTCTTCCCCTCCTCCCCTCCCTTCCTCTCTCCTCATCCTCCTTTATTTTCTTCTTTCATTCCATCCTTTTCTTCCTCATGTTTTAATTTCCTCTTTCCCCTCTCTCCATCCTTCATGTCCACTCTAGGACAGGCACTCTTTGAGGGTATTGGTATAAGAAAGGAGAATATTACTCTCTCTGCTCCAGAAATTCCAGTGAAGGAGAAATAGTCAGCAAGTAAGTAAATGAACTAGTATATGAGATCATCTTAGATGGCAGTGAACAACTCTATGGTATAAAGATTGTACTTTATATTTTCTGAGACAAAATCTTACTATGTAGCCCAGACTAGCTTTGAACTCATCATCACTCACACCCCAGCCTCTTGAGGGCTGATATTATAATTATTATCATCATGCCTGTCAAGAAGGGATCCTTTGGGAAGAGCTCAGGGAGTTAGCTTAGAGGGGGCTATGCTTAAATTGAGGTCTGAACAGTGAGACAGTATGAAACCTTTGAGGTATTAGATCAAATATATTTCCTCTTATTCTGATCCAACAGAAAGAGTTTTAACTATGACAGACATTTGTGTTTATATTTTGATCTGGGAAAGGTGCAAGCACTGAGTTCCTGTGGGAGTTTGAGATCTTGGGGTTTTCTCCTATAGAATCATGGAGGTACCCTGGGTCGGGGTGCTGCCCTTTGGTCTTGATGAAAATTGCTTTTGAACGGAATGAATGATTCAAGGCTGGTGCTGAGTCTGGAATGCATTCTATCTGCATACCCAGGAGGCACACACAAATATTTTCTGGGGTTGTCATGGCTCTAAGAACCATGTTGGAGTTTGTCTTGGAGCTGGTAACACAGCTGTGTCTTGTGTTTTAGGTTTATCGGAGACAAAGTGTATCGGAGTGAAATTACAGAGAAAGAAAAGAAAAGCCGTGATAGGATAAAGGAAAAAAGAAACAAAACCACAGATGATAATGGGTAAGTGTCAGGTAGTTAAGCAACTAGAATTCAATCAAATGAAGAGTTCCATCCCTTCCCTTCTTGTCTGTCTGTTCTCTTCCCCCAAATGTTTTCAATTTTAATTAAAATAATTCATATACCTGATTAAAAATGCAGCAGCAAGCACTTCAAATAATAAGAAAGGTTTAATGTGCCTATGCCTCATTCTTGCTTTCTAGAATATGTATTTCTAAAAATTGTGTACAGTTGTCTTTATAGTTACCTCCCTAGCTATGATTTTCTTGATTTCTCAATAAAAACAAAACATTATCTAGAAACTCTGCTGTGAAGGAAGTTTACAATACTTTATTTTTTAAAGCCAAGATTTTATAATGTCATTTGCTTTCTCCGTTAGTAGACTGTCCTAGGCTATCTCCACCATCTTCAGTGGTGATATTCTTTCCCACCCTTCTCTCTGTCTCATTGTAATTGTTGTACCCATATATAATTGTTTGTTATATAGAATTTATTTTTGCATTGTCAGAATTATTAACATATACATTCTGGTCTGAAATGATAATTGCATTCTTTTAAACCAACAAACTACCTCTGCTTTTATGTGTGTGCACAGGTGTGCACACACACATCTTATATGTGTATGTGTACTCACCTGTGAGTGTGTGAAGGCCAGAGGATGACTTCAGGCATCCTCCTCTACCACTCTCCACCCTAGGTATTTTGAGAAGGGATTTCTCACTGAAGCTTGCTGTTTTGGCTAGATCAGCAATCACTCAAGGAGACTCCTGTCTCTCCTGTCTCTCCAAGCCCATGCCAGGATTACAGGTTAATATGGCCTTACCTGGCTTTTCTGTGCATGCTAAGAACCTGAATTCAGGTCCTTGTTTGTTCAGCAAGCACTTTGTCCACTGAGCCATCTTTCCAGTCCCAGCGTTTCCTTTGTGATGATGACTGATATTGACCAGTGCTATCTAGTACACAAAGATTTGTTTCCCCCTCTACTGGATCAACTGGAAGGGTTTTTTCCCCTTTTGTAGAAAAGTTATTTTAGTATCTAAACAAAAGGTTGTGTATTTGTTAACCTGATTTTGTTCATTCATAAAGGGACTTTGTTTTAGGAAAACTAGTTCTCAAAAGTCACAGAACTTGATGGTCAGAAATGCCATCAGTAAGAATGGAAGAGCTCATTCTGTGTGGAAGACCTGAGTCTTGGGTTCACTCTGATTCTGAAAAGCAAACCAAACCCAGAGTGCCAGATAAGGGATATTCAGATAAAGACAGACTGCTCCACGTTTATCCTAACAGAGTTCCCAAGGACACAGGGCGGTGAGGCATTCCAGTCAAGGTGACATGGATGGCTTTACACACAACCCTGCTCGCTTTGAGCCTGATCAAACAATTCCTCATTGAACTTTTACCTACCCTCTCCTCTTCCCCATTCCCACAATCCTATGTTCCATCTCTTTGTTTGGTGAGATGCCTCACAGTGCCTCTGGATGCTGTCTCCCTTGGTGCAGCAAGTTATTAAAAGCTCAATTTGCTGAGCTACAGCTGTGACCCGAGTTGTCTTTATCAGAATTGTTCAGGATGATGGCACCAGTTAATTTAGTTGAACTATAAGTCCTGGAGTTTCTAATTGCTTTTCTTTTTTCTTAGGAGATAGAATTTAATTTTGTCACTGTTAACATCTGCTAAGACACATAGTTTGAAATGATAACAAAATGAATAGCTATAACTGGGTTTCTGGATGCAGTGACATCCAACCCACACCCTGGATGCCTGGCCAACATCAATTACATGAGAAATGAAAGATGAGGGCAAATTCTGGTTTCATAAGCTGATGAAATACGGCTGGTTTCTGGCCATGCAATATACTGCTTTTGCTTTGGAGATCTACTGGAAAACATTTACTCTGGAATCTCCCTTTCGTTCCAAGTTGATTTTGTTATTTCTTTGATTCCATATCTTCCTCCTCTTGTATGGTTTTCACCATTGTTGAAAGTATATTCTGAAGTAACTTTTGCAGCATGGTTGCATGACAGACAAACTTTCTGAGATCTGGATCAGTATTTTGGCTGTGTATGGAATTTACGATGAAAACAACTTTCCTTCTGAACTTTGAATTACTCTCCCAGTGCCTTGTGTAATCAAATCTGGTTTTGCTAATGATGGATCGAAGGTGATCTAACACCTTTCCTTCCCCCTGTTTCCTCCATCACATGTTCTGAAGTTTTACTTTAATGGTTTTCTCTGTGACTTCTTTTCCATTTGATCTGCCTAGTGTGGGATGAAACTTTTCAATCTTAATATTCGTATCTCCAGTTCCGGAAGGGCGTGCAGTGAGCCATTCCTATGTGGACTGCGATGGTCTCCCCTGTCTGGTCCCCTTTCTTATTCCTTTTCTGATGTATCCTACTGAAGGCAGAGCTTGCATTTTCACTGAGATTTCTCCAGGCAGTTTGAGTCTCTTCTTCCCTGCAGCTTCTTCCAGAATGTTCTGAGCTGTAGAATTATTGTTTAAATGAATTCTTCCCCCAACATATATGCTTTCTTGGAATGTTCTTGAATGTCTCAACCACCGTTAGTGTTCTACCACCTTAAATTGGACAACCTGAACCCCAGGTGCTGAAAACATTTGCAGTGGTTGCCCTTTTTATAAATTTCACAGTCATTTATTTTATTTACTGGTAAACACAATCACCAAGGTGCAAACATGTGATGTATTATCAACTTCAGAATTATGTAAGATGTCAGCAGTTTCTTGGCCACACCTGTAATGGGGAAAACCCTATTCACATCTGGACCACGCTCACTCTTGTAGCAGTTCACCTCCAAACTGTCCTCTTTATATCATCTCCTTGGGTCTGTCTCAGGGAGAGTTAAGGGAGGTGACCAAATATTTAATTCTTTCCTACTCAGTGTTCTTTGGCCCTTGGTAGGAGGCAAACAAACAAACTCAACAGAAGCAGCTGAAAGGAGGGTTTGTTTTGTCTCACAGTTTCAGAGGGTCTTATCCATTCTGGTGGGGAAGGTACATGGTGGGAGCCGCTGTCTGGGATGTAGGAGTTTGTAGTGCGGCTCCCCACGTGGCAGGAGCAGGAGCAGAGAAAGCTAACCAGGAACTGGGCCAGGCTATTACTCTTCAGGGAGCTTTCATTGTTGACCTACTTCTCTAGCTCAAAGGTTTCACATCTCCCTCATACAGTGTCCATGACTGGTGACCAGGAGCCTGTGGGGGATGGGCACTTCAAATCAAACCATGACAGTGGCCTTCCTCTAGTATAGGTCTATACTTATTTCAAAATTAAAATTAATTTTCATTTTTCTTTATTATGATACTTGGATTGAATTTAGGACTTCCTGCCCATTGGGCAAGCACTCTACCCCTAATGAACATCCATAGCTCTCATTTTTCTTTTCTTAGGGCTGTTGTCTGGCTCGGCCCAAGAGTTTCTTTGGCAAGTATGGCAGGAACCAGGCTTTCCCTTCCCTGAGCTTATTTGTGGTCCATTTTTGCTTCCTAACAGGGAGAAGGGAACGGACACATTCCAAGCTTCCTTAGTGATTCCCAGCAAGGACAAAGCCGCTTTCCTCCTCAGTTATGAAGAGCTTCTGCAGAGAAGGCTGGGGAAATACGAGCATATCATCAGTGTGCGCCCCCAGCAGCTGGTGGGGAGGCTCACCGTGGAGGTGAATGTTCTGGAGAGGTCGGGCATTGAAGCCTTAGAGGTGCTACCTCTTCACAACAGCAGGAAGAAGGGCAGTGGGGTGGCGGAAGGTGAGTCATGCCTGAGGGTGCTCAGGTCCTGGGGGATGCTCAAAGCTGGGACTGGGATTTCACGAACTCTGCAGAGGAAATGGCGTCCCTTCCACAAAGGCTTCACATGTTATAGAAATTGGAAGAAAGTCACTCAACAGAGACAACCCTTTGTATAATTTTTTTAAAAGATTCAGCTTCCACCAAGAGATGAATAAACATTTAAGTTTTTTGACATTGTGACCCCACTCTGAGGAAGTGATTGTAGGTAAAATTTCTAAAATATTGAGAATATTACATCCAGGAAGCTGATAGTATTTATCAGACAAAACATTCTTATCATTCCAAATATTTAATGTTAGAAAAGCAATTAGTAATGAGCAATGATCAGAGGTAATTTAGCACGTGATGGGGAGAAAGACAAACACATCAGCATGCATGATAATATTAAATATGTTGAACATTGCAGAAGACTAGAAAGTCATATAAAACCGTGATTTCATCTCAAGAGCATAGGGTTATGGGTATGTTTTATAAAAATCACCTTTTTTTGTGGTGAGTGAGATGGAACCTAAGGCTTTGAAAACGTTAGCCAAGAGCTCTGCCATTGACCTATTCTCCTAGCCTCATCAATCTTCTTTTCAGTACTCAACAATGGTATCTTCTTTCCAAGATTACATAAAGAAACACGTGTTTGGAGACAGCCTGGTGGCACTCACCTGTAATCCCAGCTGTTTGGGAGGCTGAAGTAGACATGAGGGAGTAAGATCAGGTTAGACCGTACAACACAGTAAGATGACAGAGTAAGATCAGGCTAGACCGGACAACACAGTAAGACTCTTAAAGTGAAAGTCAGAGGATAGCTAGGAAATAGCTCAGAGAAACAGACTTTCCTAGTGTGAGTGAGGTCCAAGGCTCAATACTCAGTACTGGAAAAAAAGTGTTCTGATCTATAGATGATATTAAACAGCCATTTTTAACTTGGTAGAAGCTCTAAATTCAGAATTTTCTTCAATTTTTTTAAAACATAGCATTTAACTTGCTGAAATAATTATGAATGATTTAAGGTGGTATATATATGTATTTAAGGTGGAATGTATATGTATATATAAATATATGTATATTAATATATACATATTAAAAATATGTATATATAAATGTATATGTATATATAAATATATGTATATTTATATATACACATTAAAAACTGAAACTTATTGCTGTAGAAGCTTCCATATACATTATATATATTATATTTATACATATTATGTATTTTTTTCTTTTATTGAAAATAGATTTTTCCCCACATAATTTTTCCTGACTGTGGATTTTTCCTCCCTTTCCTCCTCCCAGCTCCCTCCCACCTTTCTTCCCATCCAGATCCACTCCCTTGCTGTTTCTCATTAGGAAACAAAAAGGTTTCTATGGGATAATAATAAAATATAATGTAAAACAAAACCAAAAACTAACACATTAGAGTTGGATGAAACAAACAACCAGAAAGAAAAGAGCTCATGAAAAGGCACAAGAAACAGAGACCCACTCATTCTCCATTCAGAGATCAAAGTGGTCTATTTTTAGCCATCATTAATTCCAAATAGTAGTTCGTATTAAACACTCACTTGTGGCTGTCTCTACGCTTCACACACAAGTACAGCTGAATGCCAGATCCAATCAAATAGTAAGATAGCCATATTCAAACATCACACCAGGGTTGGAGCGACAATATTTCAGATGCCTGTGACCTTGAGAACAGGGGACTAGTAAATGAGACGTGAATAGGTAAAAGTGCAGACTCTGAATTAGGTGCCAGTGGCTGTTAGGAGAGTCCAGAGCAGGCACATCTTAACAACAAAAACAGAACTTAACCCTTGTCAGCCACGCCGGACTTCGAAAGCCAAAGTGTCGTCAAAGCTGTCTGACATTCAGAAATGGCAGGAAATACGACCCTTCATCCTCATGTCCTGTGGGTGGTGGTCACACGGATCGTAGATTTTTGTTCAGCTATTGATATAAACTGGAAGGAAATTGTTGCCATGGTGTAAAACAGGGCTTCCACATCTGTGCAGCAGGGGCAGAGCCTGTCTCAGTGACTCTGAAGCACTGCCCTACAGAAGTCTCTTGGCTCAGAGTAAGAGCTTAATAATTACTGTTTTATTATTGTCATTATTATGTTCCTTATATTTACTCTTTCTCTCTAGACATCTTAAAACATATTAAGTACTTTCAGAGGTATATCTGTCTCCAATCAACCTTTGTCTCTTTGCCGGATCTAATCTAATGTCTTTTAAATAGTACATACTACTAAGTACAGCATCTTCAAAAGCAAAGACGTACAAAGAAACAAAGAATGGAGAATGCTGTCGAATTTAATATCTCACTCATAGTAACTTTAGAGGGAACTTTTTCTGACTTGCACTGTTTGAAGAAGTTATTATTTAGTGGGAGAAGGTTCCCAGAGGCAATGGAGACTTGTAGCAGTGAAGTATCTGTGTAGTGTGCTGTCCATGAATACTCAGGGTCAGTGAATATATCCTTAGAATGTACTGAAGGCAACTGAAATGCATGCTTACCTAATTTACAGAACCTCCATAGCTCTGCAGAGCTGGATACATGTTACATGCCTCTATTTGTGTGTATGTTTGGGCAGGGTATGAGTTATGACTGTTAGTCAAACAATTGCTTATTGTTTATAGTTGGAGCTTATTAGTATCTCCAAGGAATGTTTTCAGGCCATTGATCTCTTCAGGCTTGTTTATTTTTAAGATTATTTTCCCAACTCTTTGTAGCAAAGCAGATCCTCTGTCTTCCAGAGCATGGCGATTCACAGGTGTGTCCTTTAGCCCCATTCAGGGGGCAGACCTGCTAACTGACGTTCCCCATTGGTCTTTCCAGCTCAGCTGTTGTTGTTCCTGGGAATGGTGAACCCAGCAGCGAGGAGCACAGGATGTTGTGGTTTTGTCTGGCCACCCTTGTGTGCTTCCAAAATAAATCCAGGGTAGAGATCACACTGGAGTCAGACTTGCACCAGAATGTGAGCTGGGACTGAGGGAGCATGGCCCAAGATTGGGTGTTGATTTCTCAGATAGATCTAGCGGTGATTAAGAAATCAGATGTCTGCAATTTGCCTAAATGAGTCTCTGCCCTATGGCTCCATTCCATCTTTTAAAAAAATGATTGATTTATTTTTAGGTTGGAACACAAAGCCATGTGTTTCATTATGGCTTCTTCATACACACATGTCATTGGACTTCACTTTCATTTGTTCCTTCCTCCCCTCTCCTCACTCACACCCCTCCATCATTCTTGCAGGCTCCCTTCCAGCTGTCAAGCTAGCCTCCCTTTCTCCTTTCTCCCTTCAAATAGTCCATTACTCTGTATTTTCTGCCTCTGTTAGGATCTCTTTCTTCCTTCTCATGATTCCCTTTCCAGTTCCAAGTCTTATACACACAAGTACACATGCAAACATATCTAGATACATATGTGATTTTAAATCTAGATTTTTGCATGTAAGAAATGACATGTAGACTGATCTTGCTGAGTCTGGCTTCTTGCATTTAGTAGTATTACTTCTACTTGTGTTGGTCTCGAAGGATGCATCTTGCCTAAGCATTGTTTTGTTAGTTACTAGAAAGAGCATGTTGCCTATAATGTTGTCTCATTCAATCTTTATAACAACTTTATTAGCCCATATCTTTTCATGCTTGTTTTCATTATGAAGAAGCAAGCCTTACAGATATTGTCTGACAAAACTTTTCCTGGGGTGTTGCATCACACACATCAATTCAGCCTAGATAAGGAACCCACAATAGACCAAAGTACGGATACCACCAAGGCCCAACTTGGTGAGCTAATGAATTTTATTGGGGTTACTGCATTGGTTAGGGTTTCTATTGCTGTGAATAGACACTTTGACCACAGCAACTCTTATAAAGGAAAACATTTAATTGAGGTAGTGTCTTACAGTTTCAGAGGTTTAGTCCACTATTATCATTGCAGGGAGCATGGTGGCCTGTGGGTAGATATTGTGCTAGAGAAGGAGCATGTTGATATGCAGGTAACAGGGAGTAGACTGTTTCACTGGGTATAGCTTGAGCATATATGAGACATCAAAGCCCACCTCCACAGTGACACACTTCCTCCACAAGACTAGACCTACTCCAACAAGGCCATATCTCCTAATAGTAATGGCCCTTTGAGGGCCATTTTCTTTCAAACCACCACAGTTATTTATAGGAATATGGGTGAGGGGTCACTTACAGGAGCAGAAATGACTCAAAGACAGCTGCATCACAGAAGCCTATAGTCATACTTTCTTTGGACCACCAGCTCCCAAATAATGACATGGAGACTTTTTACTAATTATGAAAGATTGGCCTTAGCTTAAGCTTGTTCCCAACTAGCCCTTATAACTTAAACTAACCTGTATATTTTAATCTATGTTCTGCCATGTGACTTGTTACTTCTCCACCATACTATATGTCTGACTTTCTCCATATCTTGCTGGTGTTCTCTGCCTCTCAGATTCTTCCCAGAGTTCCTTTCTCTGCCCAGAAGTCCTGTCTATCCTCTCCTGCCCAGCTATTGGCCATTCAGCTCTTAATTAAACCAATCAGAAGGTACCTTGGCAGAGACATATTTTCACAGTGTATAAAAAGATTATCCCGTAACAGAAGCCCACTCCAGCATAGTCGCCAGCTCACAAAAGCTGGGAACCCTGGATCACACTGTACAACCTACAAGCAGCTCAGCAGGTAGGAGAGTGTCCTTTCCAGATGCCTTAGGTGGTCTAAAATGCTTCCAGGCAGCTGGCTAGTTCCTGCTTCTTCCAGGTAGCTGGTCTTGTGGAGGAGTCTTCTTTTGCAACTCAGCCTTTCTGAGAGTCTTCTTTGCAGCTGGGTTCTGCTTCCTCTGGCAAGGAGGGGCCTAATGAATCTGGTCAGTTTCAGGGACTTCCTGGAACTATTTGGAGTTGTTGTTGTTGTTTTTTTTCCCTGCCTAAGGAGCTTCTTGAAGGATGG